CAGTCTGAGGCAGACCTCCCTGCAGCTCCTCTCAGTCTGAGGCAGACCTCCCTGCAGCTCCTCTCAGTCTGAGGCAGACCTCCCTGCAGCTCCTCAGGAGCCAGCAGGAGGCGCTCTGTCACTCAGGGAGCTCCTGCGCCACTGAAGCCCCTCCCACCCGGAGCTAAAATCAGCACACGCTCACTCCAGGCGACAGCATGGAACCTGCGTTGTCATGGTTACACTTTCACTTGACTTCTCTGACCCCCTTCCTCCTCCTCCTTCTTGCCCCTCCCTTCCCGCCGTCTCCAGGCAACAGCACCCCCCACCACCACCACCTCTTCCTCCTGGTTTCAGAGGCTCAGTAGGAAGAGGCTGTGGGTTTGACGCCAGCCTTTCCATGTGCCCATTAGCAAGGTCCCAGTCTGTGGACTGGAGGTGTGAGCTGCTCAGGTCTCTGCTCCTCGGCCCCCCCTCAGTCTGCAGCAGCTCTAAAGCTAAAGCTGCCAGTGAGGGAGGTGCTGCCAGCCTGTCACCTCCTCCTAACCTGCAGCGTTTCTCTGAGGAGAGCCTGAAGGACGGAGGAGGAAGATGAAGGTGAATAATGGATGGAAGGAAAGTGAGAAATGAATGAAAGGAGGAGGAGCTGCTGTTTGCATTATTAACCAGCTTTTCTTTCTCCTCCTTCATCTTCATGTTCTTCATCAAGCTGCTTCTCTTTCCTTTCATTTCCTGCATTTAAAAAGTTCTGCTGTTTCTCTGTAGATTCAGAGCTTTTCCAGCTCTGGACCTTCTGCTGACTGCAGAGATGCTGCATCATGATATCCTCAGCATGGCTGCTGGTTCTGGTTCTGGTTCCGGTTCTGGTTCTGGTTCTGGTTCTGGTTTAAACATTTTGATCTTTAGATGAAGAATCCAGACAAAGTTTCATCATTCAGAAAAGTTCATCCAGAGGATTGAACTTAGTGGAGGTTCCTCTCCTTAGTCAGACCTTAGGAGAGCTATGGATGAATTATGGAAGGTTCTCCCCAGGATGGAGAGTCTCTGTGGGGGAGGAGGGAGGGAGGAAGAGGAGGACAGGGAGGAAGAGGAGGAGGACAGGGAGGAAGAGGAGGAGGACAGTGAGGAAGAGGAGATCTGGGGAGTTTGGGTCATTCTGTCATCAACTGTTAAAAAACTAATCGTCTGACTCCCGTTACCACGGGAACCAGGGGAAGCTCTCTTCTGTTGCCCACGGTAACAGTCCTGAGATGAAAGGATGGGAACCAGGAGGAGGAGCCTAATGGTCAGAACCACGGACCTGTGATCCTGAGCAGGAAGTGGATCTGCTGAAGGTGGACCGGTTCTGATCTCTATGGTTTCCTGACCCCAAGCTGCTGTGACTGGTTCTGAAACGGGTCCGGATGGGTTCGGGTCAGGCCAGAACCCCGCATGCGGATCAGAACCAGCTGCAGCTTCAGGCCGTGACTCCACCTGGAGGGGAACCAGAACCGCTGGCTCCTGGTTCTGGGTCATGATGGAGTCCATTTACTGGTTCCTGAGTGAAAAAGCGGGTTGGATCAGAACCTTTAGAACATCTGGGAGCAGATCTAAGGAGGAGGTTCTGAAAGGTCCAGCAGGGGTTGGAACACGGGCCCAGATGGTCCAGCACGACGTCTGCATCAGAACTGGTTCTGACTGGATCTGGACGATCAGACCCACCATTAGGGCTGCTGACCTCCAGGACCCTGCAGATCCAGGTCCAGAGAGGACAGCATTGGCGCCACCTGGAGGTAACGGCTGGGTAGAGATTTGGACCGGTTGTGACCCGGCCCGATGTTCTCAGAACCTCCAGCTGAAGGACAGAGCTTCAGCTGCAGGTCTTTCAGCTGGATGTTGGTCTGCTTCTCTGAGCCGTCCATCAGGAGATAAATAGATTTAAGAAGTAGATTCCATCTCCAAACTCCTGCTGCTAGTTTGGTTGCAAGGATAGAAAACCGTTCATAGATCCAACAGGTGGCGCTCTGATGCAGGGATGGAAACTTTCTAACATTTTTTCCCTAAAACCTGCTAATCTGTCTGATCTGATCTGTAGGCATCATTTTAAATCAATAAAGTTTTTTACTTCTCTTACATAAAGGTAACCCGGATTATTATTCAATTCTAACAAGAAAGATTTGAAATAAATTCCCTCATTAATGTTAATTTTAATTAAGAACACTTTATTCATTCTAAATACATAAACCTGACAATCATTTATAATTAAATAAATTAATGAAAGTGAATTATTTTATATTTATTTACCAGGTTTTTGTTAAAATGGGAAATTGTTGTTTAATATATTTAGATTAATGTTTAATCTAAACAGCAGACTGGATGAATAAAACAGAATAAAGTCTAAATTATTTTAGAAATATTAAACTTTATTTTAAAACTGAACCTAAAACTGGATTAAAACCGAGGATTAAGCAGATTGAATAAAAACAGTGAAGTTAGTTTAAGGTGTCGGGGCTGCGGGCCCCTGGGGGCCTGGAGCTCAGCGCCGCCCCTGATGATGCTGAGGAGGAGGAGGAGGAAGAGGAAGAGGAGGAGGAGGAGGAGGAAGGCTGAGAGCAGCAGCGGCAGCTCTGCACCGAGGCTCCAGCTCCGCTCCGCCAGCCTTCCTGCCTCAGCTCGGCTCGGTTCGGTTCGGTTCGGTTCGGTTCGGTGTTGGTTCTGTTCGCTGATCCGCAGCATCAGCAGCATCAGCGGCCTCCATCATGTGGTGCATCAACTGCGCCTCGGATAAAACCCCCGCGATCCTCAACAACAAGCTGCTGTACTGGTGAGGGTGCGCAGCTGATGATGATGATGATGATGATGATGATGATGATGATGATGATGATGGCGATGCGACACAGCGGCTCGGTTCTGACTGAGGGGGCTGCGGGGTGGGGGGGTTCTGGTTGGTACCGGTCCAGTTGAAGCCCAGTAACTCTGACTGGTTTGGTTCTAAAGTGGTTCTGATGGATCCTCTCTGCACAGCCTGGAACTTTGATTATGAAGGAAAGAAGTTTTTATATCGATGATTGATTGATTGGTTGATTGATTGATTGATTGGTTGATTGATTGATTGGTTGATTGATTGATCTCCATTTTATTCCAAACTTTCTTCTTCGATCCATAAAATGAAGAGATTTTAATTTTTGTATAATAATCTGAGTTAATAATCTGTTACTATAGATAAATTATTTATTGTTCATCTTTAAATACTGAATAAATAAAAACTGGTTTTATTGCAAATTA